TCTGATATAAGGATTGCCACCCCAGCTTTCTTTTGGTGTCCATTAGCATAGTAAATGGTTTTCCACCCCCTCACTTTCAATGTGGGGGTGTCTTTGGGTCTAAAATGACTCTCTTGCAGACAGCATATGGATGGGTCTGGTTTTTTAATCCAGTCTGATAGCCTGTGTCTTTTGATTGGGGCATTTAGCCCATTCACATGCAGGGTAACTATTGAAAGATATGAATTTAGTGCCATTGTATTGCCTGTAAGGTGACTGTGACTGTATATTGTCTGTGTTCCTTTCTGGTCTATGTTGCTTTTAGGCTCTCTCTTTGCTTAGAGGACCCCTTTCAATATTTCTTGTAGGGCTGGTTTCGTGTTTGCAAATTCCTTTAGTTTTTGTTTGTCCTGGAAGCTTTTTATCTCTCCTTCTATTTTCAATGACAGCCTAGCTGGATATAGTATTCTTGGCTGCATATTTTTCTCGTTTAGTGCTCTGAAGATATCATGCCAGTCCCTTCTGGCCTGCCAGGTCTCTGTGGATAGGTGTGTTGCCAATCTAATGTTTCTACCATTATAGTTTACATATCTCTTCTCCTGAGCTGCTTTCAAGATTTTCTCTTTGTCTCTGAGACTCATAAGTTTTACTATTAGATGTCGGGGTGTTGACCTATTTTTATTGATTTTGAGAGGGGTTCTCTGTGCCTCCTGCATTTTGCTGCCTGGTTCCTTCCCCACATTAGGGAAGTTCTCTGCTATAATTTGCTCCAATATACCTTCTGCCCCTCTCTCTCTTTCTTCTTCTTCTGGGATCCTAATTATTCTAATGTTGTTTCATCTTATCGTATCGCTGGACATGGGTTTGAGGATCTGGAAAGGAGACACCTCTCTTCTGGGAAGCCTGCTGCCAAACCTGCAAAGCACAGAGCAGACGCTGGCAAACAGGGCCCATCCAGCTTGACCTGCGGTTCCCCAACTCTAAGCACAGGCAGAAGTGGCCAACATTGGCATTCATCTTCGCCGCCGCTGCCCAAGTCTCTGGCAGTTGCTCTCCCGGCCCTCAACCCTCTTGGTCAAACTTCACATTTATACATGGGCCTGTTGTTGTTAGTCATTTCGACCTGAATTTCAGTGTGCTTTTTTTAAAATTTGCCGTGAAATACAACCAAAGGCAACCATTGTTCTGCATTAAAGAAGCATCCTACATCCTTGAACACAAGAGGAAGGTATTTTTTGGAGACAGGATGCTGTTGACAAAGGGAAGGAATGCGATGCACCCCTCTCCTGGCAATGGGCCATCTAATCTAACAACTGTTTTCATATAGCATGACACTTTCGCATTACCCTCTCATCAAAAGGACGTTTCTCTCCAGCTTCAGCTACTCTTTTCCTGAGAAAGAGAAAAACCGAGAAACAGAGAAGTTGAGCAATTTGTCCAGGGTCACACAAGCTAAAATGTGGCAGAGCTCTGGTGAGAGCCTGGAACCTGTGGTGCTAGAGTGTAGGGGAGGGAGGAAGATGGAAATTGCAGACGGGGATCCTGGGTCCCCCACTCCAGGCTGAAATCACAGGGTAGGGGTGAGGTGATGAGGGCAAAGGGCCAGGAGCTGCAGAGACACAGAGAGACAGAGACAGGAAGGCAGCCAAGGGACTATTCCCATCAGATGGTGGCTTCCTAAGTATGCAAGTACCAACATGAGTGGCCACTGGATAAAAGAAGGCAGTGCCTGCAAGTCTCCCCAGGTGCCTTGGTGGTGTGGAAAAGGTGACCTTCCAGCATGACTTCCATGGAGGAGCCTGGGACCGCTGTTGGCCACCATGGTGAGGCAGGGTAGCCCACCAGCCATGGCTATGGGTAGGCAGCCCACACCCAAGGGGAGGGGACAGTTGGAGGATGCACAGCATCTGTGAGAACCCAGGGGACCAGTGACAGCAGGGGTGGAAGGGACAGACCCTGGATTTGCCAGTCTTATTCCAGTAGCAGGAGGCAGGCAAAACCCAGGGAGCTGGAGGCTTACAAGGAAGTTCGGATCAACTGTAAAACATAGAGGAAGCTATTGGTTTATTGTACAATTTGAGGGTGGCATGTAAGCTAAATACCAACGTGGGTTATTTTCAGCTACTTGTGAGCTCTCATGGAAGCAGCGTTAGAAAAGAACCTCAGCTTTGGAGTCAGGCAGACCTGGTTCCAGATGAGAAGTTACCACAAGTCTTTTTGTGAGATGAAAGAAAACCTCACTTTCCCTTGTTGCAAGCTGGAAATTCAATGCCTGCCTCCCTGAGCTTAGGGCGTGGGAGGATTAAATAAGACAACTGAAGGATCACTCCAGTGTCTGGCTTCTCCATTATAAACTGATCTGCAGTTTGCTAAGCAAATAAAGGAAGGAGAGTCATTTCTGATCAACTAGAGGGTTCATAAAACATCCTTGAAAGAAAAGTGTCACACAGGTGAAGAATGAAGTGTGGGGACTCCAGCCAAAAATGTTCTACCTGTAAAGGGTGGAGACACTTCAGGCATTTTCCTAATTGACTATAGAAATCACAAATTTGACTTGAAAATTTTTTCTTCCTTGTAAATTCCCCTGCGTGTTAGATGTGTCTTTGGAGTCTTCTCAGGAAGGCTTCCAAGTGTTCAAAATCATCTTTAGAAATTATTCAAAGCCTCAAATCTTATTATTTTTGTACCCAAACTGCATATGCTTAAAACTAACAGGTAGGTGTTCCTATTAAAATGCTTCTCATTTTCACCTCTCTCAACTCAACATGAGATTTCAAATATTCTAAAGAGCCAGAGGTGTTTCTTCCTTTTTTAAAGTAGGAAGTTGGTAGCTATCTTTGAAATGTTAAAAAAAGCAGGTGAAAATTTGTGAACAGTGATTGTCTCTGGGTAAGGGCGGGGGTTAGGTGGAACTTTATGCCCTGTGTTATTTAACTTAGTGGGGGGCCCAGATTGCTTCAGTAAGTTTTCATAAGCATTTACAAAGCAGGGTGGAATTCTGACATCTGAATCTATTCTTCCCGTATAAACATATTGGTCCCAGGAACACTTGCAAATCTGTGAATTCTATGTGTGAGAGGATAAGGAACAGAGCCCTGGAGATAGCCAGTTCTTCTGGCCCTGATCTGTGATCTGTGGTGAGAAAAAAGCTGTGTTGAGAACCTAACATCTGTTTCTGACTCCACAGTTGCGGGGCTGAGAGGCCGGGCAGAATTACCCAAGTCCAGTGGATCCAGACAAATCTCCCTCTTTACTGGCTGAGAGTCTAAGGTCTGCACCATTGCTCAGCAATTAGAGTTCAGCTTTAAGATTTGGCTGAATCCCTGCCCCCTTGAGCAGGAGGTTGCTCTTTTCTCCTCTGCTGATAGTTTGCCAAAAGCAAAAATTACCTGTTACAACAACAACAGGTAATGGGTGGGTGGCAGCCAAAGGTAGGCTGTTGTGCAGAGAACTTGATGGTGGCACCCCAAATGACCTCACATAAAAACAAATAAAATAGTGGTAATAGTCCTTGATGTGGACCACAGATGCAGTTCTAATTTCAAGAAACATCTTTAGAAAACCGTGTGGAGTTTATGGACCTGTAACGTGCAATCTGAGTAAGAACAGGGTGCTGGCTGGCAAGTGCAGCCTCAAGACCAGTCCCACCTTCTTCCCAGCCCTCTTTCCCACAGTGGCTGCTCAGAAGTCTCTCCTAGGCTCCAGTCCCTGACTTGTCCCTGGTCGGCCCCCCCAGGGTTTTCCCGACCACACCCTCTGGCACAGCCACTGCCTGCTCAGAACACAGCTTAGAAAGGGAATCAGGCAGGGGCTGGGCAGGTGACTCACATGACATAACATACGGTCCTTAAGCCCAGTGGCCCAACCTGTTTCTTTGTGTGGATTGCTTTACAGTTTTTGTAAATGCATAAAAGCTGACTTTCAGAAAACATCCCCAACTACCCATTTGCTCACCAAGCTATCTGAGCATGTGGTTTAAATCGTGTCTCTAATCTCTGGCCAGAGAGGAGGGCCAGTGAAGCGCCCCACTGGCCAGTCTCGGGCAGCAGGGAATGTCTGCATTGGCTGCCAGGAACCAGCAAGACCCTGGGCAGTGGAACCAGATACTGGCATCTTCCCATGTGTCCTTGGAAAATGGAAACCAGATAACCAGTAGGTTGGTTAGAAGGGCACACTCATTAGGGCGCAGGACTGATGGACATGATACCACAAGGGCAAACACAAATTCTGTGTATCTGCACAGCTGCCTCCACCAACGGAGGCTCCCTGGGGCCAGGCACAGTGCCTTTCTGCGTCCCCTGTGCACAACCTAGCCCACAGAATATGTCCAGTGAGTAGGTGACGATGGTGGACTCTGCCCTATGCCTGTCCTTGTGAAATGTTTCCTTCCTCCATACACTTGCTCAGGCTGATCCTATACCTGAAGCACCTTTTCATTTCATCCTAAACATCTGTTAAGGTACAGCTGCAGCCCCACCTCCTTCACAGCTCTATCAGTATCCATCGTGTCACCCGCGGCCCCTCACACATGTGTGCTCATTCAGGCTTGTGTCCATCTCACAAATGGGAAGCCGACTCAGAGGCATTTAATGACAAGTCCAAGGTCACACTGCCGTTAGATGGCAAAGCAAGAACTCAAACCCAGTTCATCTGATTCCAGGCTCTCTGCTCCCTATATTTCATGGATTGCTTGAGACTCTTCTCTGAGGCTTTTCAAAGGGTTTTATGGCCCTCCCTGCCCCATCTTAGGAATGAGCAGGAAGATCTGTGTTTGATGGCATGATTACTGACACTAAAAGTTAACCTTCAACACCAGGAAGTGGCCCTTCCCTGATGGGAGTTTCCTGCTCTGACCACCGAGGCTAGCGCCAGGAGTTCCCAGGGCTGGGCATTTAATAGCTCTGTGTGCTACAGTTCACTAAATACTCTCACCTTCTCGAAAAGCTGTTTTTTTCCTCTTGGGAGCGGCTGACTCTACCCTTTATGAGAATTCCAAGGCTGCTGGTGCCCTGCCCATTGGGAAACACCTTACTGTATCACCCTATAAACATCTGAGGTGGCCCTAGGAGGACCTTTGCGGCACAGCTGTCTCCCCACGACGTGAGGTTCCAGCCACCCCACCATGAGGTTTCTAGTCGTCTCCAGGCTGCTCTGCATCTGGCTCCTCTGCTTCTCCATCTTCTTCGTGGAAGGTAGGGCCATCTCCCGGGGTGCTGGCTCTCGAGGAGAATGTAGGGCCTGGGAAGGTTGGAATCAGGAAATGTGGGAGGGCAGGACCCCCAGGAGGCAGTCCTGGGCCTGGGAAGACAGGCTATCACTCCTAAATCTGTAGCACCTCTTTCCACAGTGGCAGCACCCCCCAATCTACATCTACAGCCCCAGCTCCCCTAAACACACACACAAGCTATGTAGAAAGTGATGTGTTTACCGCAAGCATACAACCTCCCGGCAAGATTGATTTGTGCACCTGAATCCTACCAAGCTAGAAACGCTGGAGCCACTCTCGTGTAGGTGTATCATGCTTGCAGGACAGTACATTTGCGTTGAGTAAATGAATGAATGAATTAGTAGACTGAGTCTGAACATCCCCAGATCTTATGTGCAGCAACCACGTGCAGCCAATGCAGCAGACCGGGTTAGCATGTGTGTGTTTGCAAATAGGGGAGATATTCCTTGCACCTCTGTGGATATGAGTATTTAGCTCTTCTGCCTTTATTGTTTCAAGTAGCTATTTTGAGCTTTTTCTCTTGCCTACCCCTCTAGACATTGCCCATTTATTATTATTATTGCTATTATTATTTTTAGCAATTATGGTGATTTTAACATTTATTGGAGTGGGAGATATGGACATAGGTGGGGCGAAAAACACCTGTACTTTCATGACTTAAGAATAACCATGTTCAACATTTTATTTCTTTTTATATTGCAGGCAAGCATTTTTTTGAAATTAATATATCTCTATATGTTCAATGTTGTATCTCTTTGTTTATCACTGTATTATTATAATCACCAAAAATACTTATGACTGAAATTATCCTGGAAGCATTTACACCAGAATGTCAACAGCAATCATCTCTGAGCTGTAAGATTATAGGAAGTATTTGTTTTCTAAAGTTTCTGTCATGAACATTTGCTGCATATGTAATATGGAAAACAGTGATTAGAATTCCTCATCAACACAGTCCAAAGCAGCGCAATCTGTCAGACCTCTAATTTGGGGACATTGTGAGAGGTTGCCACTATTACCTTAATGACAACTCATTGAAGATAAATACTTTTCTGCATAAAGTTTCCAATCCATTTAGGAATGTCCCTGGCATAGGCTTCAACGTAGTGTTATTTTAGTAATATTTTAAGTAATATTTTGAGATATAACTTGCCATCAAGTGAATGTGCTATGATGAATTTCATGCTTAGACATTTAGATGGTTCACAACGTTGCACTATTTTAAGCATGTAGTAAAAAAGCATATGTGTATATAAAACACGTCTTGTATTTAAGATTATTTCCTTAGGCTAGATTGCCAAAGGGAGATTACTAGGTCAACAGGCATAGACACTTTGAGTGACGGTGCTGTTTTTTGGAGGAAGGAACGTGAGGAAGACAGGATCTGCCCACACTAACTTTGTTATTTCTGGAAAAAAAAAAATCACCTCCAGGCCCACCCTTCCCCCTACCCCCCACCTCCGCCCAGCTCTCCCCTAGCCTGGCGCATCCTGAGTTTCCTTGAATAAATACTCCTGACCCCAGCATCCTGGGAGCAGAGGCTCATTCAAGTCATTCCTTCACAGACCCAACCCCATGGTGTCCCCAGACTTGCTAAGGAAGGGTCTCTGCCCCTCTGTGTCCACCCTCAGGGAGAAAGAATTCTAGTCATCTTAGCAAGCCCAGGAAACGCAGGCTGTGCTGTTCCCGAGTTCCTAGCCCTGCCCTGACGACCCAGAAAGGTAAGCACCGCACCCTGTCCAGATGGTAAGAAGACGTTCTGGGGGGGCCGTGGGACAGGTGGTATATGCGGGTCAGCCCCCAGCCGTGCCTGACACGGAGGGGCCACAGCAGATGTGACCTTGGCCTCATGGAACTTCCAGTCTAATGGGGGGAACCGGCCCCTCCCCCCCAAAACAAAGTCAAAGAAGTAATCATTTTAAACCAAATACTTTCTGTCGAGAGAAAGAACAGAATGAGATTTGAAAATGTTACTGGGAACACCCCCTACCCTGGGTGGGAGGCGTCGGGGGAGGCCACATTTGAGACCTGAAGAAAGGCAAGGAGCCAGAAGGAGGAATGTGGAGGGGAGGGTTCGGGCAGGGGAAGCAGCAGGCGTAGGGGCCTGAGATGGGCAAGAGGGGGCCATGGAAGACAGAGAGGCTGGTGAGTCATCGGGAGGTGTTCACGGAAGCTACTAACCAAGGCAGGACTGGCCTCGTGAGTTGGCACATGAGGAAAGGGGACCAATACAGGGATGGAACTCACAGGTTCAGAGAGTCCCAGGATGCAGGCAGTCAGCACGAGTCCCAGTAGCCCGGCTGGAGGAGGAGAGCTGGGCTCCATACCAGGGTGAGACCTGGAGGAACAAGACTGCCCTCTCCCACAAGGCCTGGGCGGAATGGGGGCACTGGATGCTGAGGGAGACAGGCTCAAGGGGGGCTGCACGCCCCCAGTTCCCAGCACTGACCTAGGCTGGGGGCCTGCTGGAGCATGAGAATTGCCTGGCCCAGGTGTGAAGTTAGCATTCCTACACTTTTACTCGCCTTTGGTAGGAGGGCCCTACAGCCTGGGGCAGGCAGAGCCCCTGGGGAAAGCTGCTGAGCCTTGAGCCAGCAGGCCTGATACTAATCCAGGGCCCCTGCCCCCCACTGTCTGCAGCCTAAGGCCCCTCCCAGGGGTCTGAGAAGGCCCCAGCCATGCTGGCTCCTCTGGGACCATGGTGCAGGGAGCCCACGACCAGAGTCAGAGCCTCCAACCTGCCCCCCAGCCAACTACTGGAGTCCTGTGCCAGGGGAGCTTGGGTATGAAGGAGAGGAAGGGAGGGAGACAGCACAGCTTAGCCTCAGGCCTCTTCTCTGGAGAAGCTAACAGCCCCTCCTTCCAAACTGGCATCACATCCAGCTGGGGCAGGATAAAAATAACCAGTTCTCACACACTGGACCCAGGTGCGAAGCACCCGCCCAGGACAGGTGAGAGTAAGTCACTGACTGACTGACTGGAGCTCTGCTCCCTGCTGAGACCCCAGCCCCATGGAGGAGGGGCAGTGTTTCCATGAAATAAATAAGGCAAAACTGTAGGCAGAGAGAGGTAGAGTCCCTCCCTGCTGAGTGAGTTTATCCACAAACCCTTCCCCAGGATGGACTCACTCACAGGCAGTAAAAAGAAGTTAAGGATGTGCACACACATGTGCACACATACACACACACACGCACACATGTGCACGCACACACACAGTTCCTAGGAAACACAGCCAGGTTAACTCCTTGTGCACAGTACAAAGGCAGCTGTTTCGTTAGTCACTCAACACTTTAAAATAATCTAGGTGCGAGACTTCCATGTTGACCCCAGATTTCCTTTAGTGTGTGTGTGTGTGTGTGTGTGTGTGTGTGTGTGTGTGTACACACATATATATATTTTAAATTTTATTATATATATATCTATTTTAATTCAATTGCAGAAACTTGCAAATAACTTTGAACGAAAAGAGCAAAACAAACCTTTTTATTGGGTCCTTATTATATAATCTCATTTAAATCCTTGGAACCACCTCCAGGGAAACATTGTCCCCATTTTACAGATTAGGAAACTGAGGCTCAGAAAGACTCTGACGCAGAGCCAGGAGCTCGGATCTGTCCACCTCTTTCCACTGCAACAAACTGCCTCCTGCATAGAGAGCAGGTTTCCTGTGGCGAGCTTAGGAAGACACGTGCATGCCCAAGACCTCAGATTTCCCCAAAGCAGAGCACCTTCTGGGTTGGAATCCCAGCTCCACCACCTGCTAGCTGCGTGCTCTTGAGCAGGTCACCCAGCTCTGCTAAGCCTCAGTCTCCTCACCTGTGAAAGGGTATGATACTAGAATCTACCATGCCAGGCTCTGGCAAGGTCGTGACTATAAAGCCAGGTGTTAGCCTGGCACCGAGTACCCCATAAACACATGCTGCTCTTGCTATGGAGGAAGGCAGAGCCCTGCCAGCGCACCTGAAGCAGGAGGCCAGTGACTTCCACGCTGAAAACCAAAGCCTAAGCCCAAGCTTGGTGGTTCCACCCGCCATTTTCCCCGGCCTGATCTTGGGACTTACTCAATGCCACGTAATCAACAGCAGAGGGGCTGGGGGTGCCAAGCTCGGGGAATTTGGCCTCTGTACTCAGGTTCCCTGATATATAAGAGCGTCTGTACACCTGTCTGTCCAAAGAGAAAATAACCGAGTGTACCTAGAGGATGTCCCCGAGCTGACACACTCAGCTACGACACACATACACCAGCACGACGACTCTTGAATCTCACATGTCTTTCCGGAGCCTAGCTTCGTATGCAAGTGCAGTGCTAGGCCCGTGGGCATGACGGAAAGTGGCAGGCACAGGACTCTGGGTCAGTTCCACAAAACCAACACCCAAAAATCAATGGGCTGAATGAATGGCCAATTTGCTGAATTTACCACATTTACCAATTTGCTAAAAAAAAAAAAACTTTTCCAAAGTATCTGAAAAGTGTGTATAAATCTCTATAGCAACATGTCACAGCAGCATTTTTTTTCTTTTTATAGCAGCATTATTTTTTTAATGGAGTGTTCAATTTGTGAACTCTGTTCGCACTTGAGGGGCATCAGGGTGAGGCAGGGGGCAGAATGACAGTTGTTTAGGACCCACCTGGGGCCTTTGTCATGTCACCTTCCATCCAAGTGTCCTGAGGTGGTTGGTAAGGAAGCTCTGGGGAAGGCTGGGAGGTCTTTTTAGAAGACCCCTGGAGCCTGAGCGTGTACCTGCCCCTCCCACAGACTGCCTGGGACCCAAGAGCTGCACGCCACCCTCCCTATTTTGAAGACAAACAAAATTACTTGACCCAGAGTGGGAGACGGGGTGGAAGGGGCCCAGAGAGATTTCTCCCCTACCATGGGGTTGTCCTCGTCTTCCGGAAGGGGCCCAAACCACAGAGACAAAGATTACCCATTGAGGACCACCAGTGTGATGACTTGAGCGTTGTGGCAACTTTGGGTGACACCTGGGTGGATAGAGCCAGTATCATGGACCGTGGAAGGGAGGAGGTGAAGAGGGTGCCCCGTCCATCCTGTCCAGTGGGTCAATCAGTCAGAGGCTCTCATATCAGTAGCCTCACTCCTTGGGATTATATTCATTAGCCATAGCTGCATAACAAAACACTCCCAGAGCGCCTGGGTGGCTCAGTGGGTTAAGTGTCTGCCTTCGGCTCAGGTCATGATTTCCAAGTCTTAGGATCAAGCCCCGCATGGGGCTCCCTGCTCAGTGGGGAGCCAGCTTCTCCCTCTCCCACTGGCCCCAACCCTTGCTCATGCTCTCTCTCACTATCTCTCCCTCAAATAAATAAAATCTTAAAAACAAAACAAAACAGGGCGCCTGGGTGGCTCAGTTGGTTAAGCGACTGCCTTCGGCACAGGTCATAATCCTGGAGTCCCGGGATCGAGCCCCACATCGGGCTCCCTGCTCAGCGGGGAGTCGGCTCCCTCTGACCCTCTCCCCTCTCATGCTCTCTCTCTATCTCATTCTCTCTCTCAAATAAATAAATAAAATCTTTAAAAACAACAACAACAACAAAAAAAAAAAAACCACTCCCAACTTCAGTGACCCTAAGCAACATGTATTTCTTATTTGCCATGAATCGACAGGTCAGCTGAGCAGTTCTTCAACTATTAGCTGGGCTTATTCATTCTTCCAAGGGTTGGATACACCACTCTGCTGATCTTGGCTGGGCTCTCTCACATGTTTAGGGGTCAGTGATCTGCAAGGCTGGGATGGTCTCAGTCAGGCACCTGGACCCTCTTCCACCTGGTCTCTTGTCCTCCAACAGGCTAGCCCAAACTTGTTCACAGAAGCTGCAGGGTTCCACCTATGTGAGTGAGAGCACCCAAGGCCTCTCAAGGCCTCAGAACTGGCCCACCTTTATCTCCACGGCATTCAATTGGCCAAAGCAAGTCACCAGGACAGCCCAGATTGAAGGAGCAGAGAAATAGACCCCATATCTTGGTGGGAGCAGCTACAAATTTGCATTGCAAAAACAGGGTGGAGAAAAGAAGACATCCAAATGGCCAACAGACACATGAAAAAGTGCTCAACATCACTCGGCGTCGGGGAAATCCAAATCAAAACCTCAATGAGATACCACCCCACACCAGTCAGAATGGCTAAAATTAACAAGTCAGGAAATGACAGATGTTGGCGGGGATGCGGAGAAAGGGGAACCCTCCTACACTGTTGGTGGGAATGTAAGCTGGTGCAGCCACTCTGGAAAACAGTATGGAGGTTCCTCAAACAGTTGTAAATAGAGCTACCCTATGACCCAGCAATTGCACTACTGAGTATTTACCCCAAAGATATAAATGTAGGGATCCGCAGGGGTACATGCACCCCGATGTTCATAGCAGCAATGTCCACAATAGCCAAACTGTGGAAAGAGCCATCCATCGGCAGATGAATGGATAAAGAAAATATGGTATATATACACAATGGAATATTAGGCAGCCATCAAAAGGAATAAGATCTTGCCATTTGCAACGACGTGGATGGAACTGGAAGGTGTTATGCTGAGCGAAATAAGTCAATCAGAGAAAGACATGTATCATATGACCTCACTGATATGAGGAATTCTTAATCTCAGGAAACAAACTGAGGGTTGCTGGAGTGGGGGTGGGGTGGGAGGGATGGGGTGGCTGGGTGATAGACGTTGGGGAGGGTATGTGCTATGGTGAGCGCTGTGAATTGTGCAAGACTGTTGAATCACAGATCTGTATCTCTGAAATAAATAATGCAATATATGTTAAGAAAAAAAAAGAAGATAGCAGGAGGCGAAGAATGAAGGGGGGGAAATCGGAGGGGGAGAGGAACCATGAGAGACGATGGACTCTGAAAAACAAACTGAGGGTTCTAGAGGGGAGGGGGGTGGGGGGATGGGTTAGCCTGGTGGTGGGTATTAAAGAGGGCACGTTCTGCGTGGAGCACTGGGTGTTATGCACAAACAATGAATCATGGAACACTACATCAAAAACTAATGATGTAATGTATGGTGATTAACATAACAATTAAAAAATTTAAAGGGGAAAAAAAAAACAGGGTGGAGAATTGCAACTATATTTGCAATAAGTCAACTGCTGTATTTGTTGTAGGAGCCAGAGAAGAGAGTCTTAGGGATCTGAGGGGCGCAGACAGGGGGTGGAAGCAGGGTTGAGGAAATCATGGTCCTTCATCAGAAACACTGATGAAAAAAGCTTGCAACATGATATTAATAGAAAAGAGTACTTTATACTGTATATTACTGTGACAATTCTATTTGGAAGATGAAAGCACTTTCAAATAGGAAGAAAAAAGCCACACCAATACTAGCACTGATTTATGATTAAGACATGAGGCCATTAATAAGTTATGATAATTAAATTTAATTTTATAGCCAGTTGTTATACAGCAATTATTGTATAGCACTTATATCTGCTAACTCAACAATAATCTTAAGAGTTAGATACTAATACTGCCCCCATTTTTACAGATGAGGAGCCAAAGCACAGAGAGGTTAAGTCACTGGTTGAAGGTCACCCAGCTGGTAAGTGGTAGAGTTGGGCTTTGAATCCAAACACTCTCGTTCCAGATTCTGCGTTGTCAACTCTCACACCACCTTGCACATAGTAATAATCTGGAAACAGAAGGAGAAAAAAAGAGTAATCTCATCACAGCAATTTAGTAACTCTCCCCATTCATTTGTGTTTCTTTTTTTTAATGCAGCCATGTTTTATTTTTATTGTATCTCATTTTTTATGTTAAAATTAACATTACACCCTGAGTATTTTTCTTCCTGTTGCTACCTAGTCTTCATAATCACAGGTTTTATCACTGCTAACCATTTTCCATCATAAGATACCATTATTAACTTACTATTTCTCCACCATAGAATATTCAGCTTGTTTTCCGAAATTTGTTTCTGGTATCCAAAACCAAACTATAAAGAACAGTTTGATGCATGCAGGGTTTTTTCTTGTGGATTATTCCTCCCATAAGTGGGACTGATCTGTCAAGATGTAAACATAGCTTTGAGACACACATTGTCTGCAACATGCTCTCTGGGAGGAGACAGCCCGAGGGGTCTGAGGGTCTGCGAGGACATGTGGGCAGACCCTCCTACCGTAGCCATCAAAAACAGGCCTCCCAAACCCCTCAAATTTAGTGGACTGTGCTCTTGACAGAGCTAGTTTAGGGCATAAGCCACCTTCCCTCCATCTTCTGCCGGTAAATCAGATTTCTTCCTGATGGGACTAAAATAAACTGAGCCAATCATGTTTGCCATGAAAGGTCTCCTTCTGGGTCTCCAGGAAGGAGATAAGCTCTGATTCTCGCCTTGATTTTTAAAAACTCTTTGTGCCTAGAAATGAACCTTAATTGTGTTCTCTCCATTCTCCACCCCCACTCTGCCTGCCCCTCTGGCTCTTGTCTTGTCTGCCCCTTCCCAGGGCGCCATGTGAAGATCTGCAGACTGTGTAAGTTCAAGCCAGAGTCCCGCATTTGGGTGGTACCTGGGGCTCTCCCTCAAGTTTAATACTCTCCAGACAAGGCTGCACACAGCTGAGACCCTCATGCCCAGTGCCCGAGGCATCCAGAAGTCTCAGGTTCTGCCAGGATGCTCCTCTTGAAGCTGGGGGTGATGGCAAAGATGTCAAGAGCTTTGGCCCATGGAAGCTTCTGTCCATGAACCATGAGTCTCTTCTCTTAAAAACACAACATTTCTTGCCCGCCGTGTTGACTGTGCTCATTCTGCCTTTTAGAAAAGCCTGAACCAGAATTTTCTGAAAACCACAACATAAATACAAAGGTCAAAACTCTGGAATGCCTGTCTTGCTGTGGGGCCTTGAACAAGTAAGTTAGCTTCTCTGGGTTCATGCTGACTTCAGAGATGTAAAGTTCAGAGAGAAAAAACCCTCCAGGGAAAACCCTGGCATCAGTGGGTTTCACTACCCTTTTCAACCTTCATGGCAATGAACTGGGAGGTTGGAGGGCTTCACCTTGGGCAGGAAGGGCCCTGAGAAAGTTCTGGAATTCCAGATGCCAGTCCCAATCGTGCCACCAACTTTCAGAATTATTCAGGCTCAGCCCACTAGTCTCAGTTCCCACCTGACCCCTACAGTGCTGACGGTCAAAATTCCACTGTAACATGTGGCAGCTGCAAGTCCAGACACTTCCGAGCCTACTAGGGTGCAGGATAACAGGCCCCCAAGAGCAGCGACCAAGTCTGTAGAGGCTCAGTTGTCCCGAGATACACAGAACCTCTAACCGTTCCATGTCTGATGGTCCCTGAAGGAACCCCTTCCTAACTTCCTGATGTGGGTCTGCTGGAAAGAACACTCAAGCACACAAATAATAAATAAGAAGATACACAAAATGTGTGGCACATCCCAGTTTGAGAAAGTCAGCAATGGGGGTCTGAGCCACAACTTTCTGCTAGAGGAGACCCGTGCCCCGAAGCCCCTGCTGCAGGCTGCCCTTCATCACAGCAAAATCTAACTCTGAGAAGGGGATCTGGGCACTACTAACAATAATAGCAAAGGTCCTGGTCCGACACACCAGGACTCAAGTCCCAGGCCTACCCGGGATTTTCTGTGTGACCTGGGCAAGTCAGTTACCTTTTCTATAAAATGCAGAGCCCAGGACCCATTCAGAGGGCTGACATGGGGCTCCCGCACACAAATGGATGTAAAGGGCCCACAAAGGGCACACAGAGGGGCTCGGTTCAAGAAGTCCCTGTCTTCCCTGCCCTCCCCCCGGGGCTGAGCTTCTGCCCACGATGAGCCAGGGCTGCGGGGCTGTGGCTCAGAGGCAACAGATGGCCCAGGTCTAAGAGGCTTATCTCTCTGTAAAGCTACCTTCTTAGCTGATTCTCCCAGCAAGGTGAGAAGCCCCTCCCCACGCCGCCCCCAGCACCGTGTCTGCGAGTGCCAGGCCAACCAGGAGCAAGGCTGGTGGGCAGAGGTTCTCTGGCACGGGGCTTTGGGGACAGCAGTCCCAGGGCCAGCCAGAGCCCTTACCTTGTTGTCGGCCAAATCTTCCACTTCCATTCAGAGGCTGCGTTCATGGGCTGGCTCGTTCACTCACTCACCCACTCCCAGGGGGAGGACGGTGGTCAGACAGTGCTAGGTTCTGAGGCTCAGACATGTACAAATGCGGTCCCTGAGGGCTAAGAAGCACCGGGGTGTGAGCACCAGGGCAGAAACAGAGGGCCAGACACAGGAGAGGGAGGGAAAAGATGAGCTGACGCTTGAGCTGAGTTAGGGGAGAGTTCCAGCTGGAGAAGACATATTTGCAAGCAGGAGGGAATGCAGATAGGAAGGGCCACGAGGAGGAGATGGAATGAGCTAGAACTAAGGCAGAGCCATGGGCAAGGCACAGAGGAGAGGAATTAGAGGGGTTCTGAGCAGCAGTGGAGTGGCCTTAGAGACTCGGTGGCTGGGTGGACTATGGAGACAGGTCCACGGTGAACATTCCCGTGCTGGGTCAGACCCTCACCAGGAACTCCCTCGGCAAGGGGCAGCATGACCAGCAGCGGGACCGCTGAGTATTCCACATCCTCGTCCCCAGTACTTCTCCTTCCACCCCACCCTGCAACACACAGACAGAAAAGGCAAAGAAAACACTCACACCTAACTAAACATGCGTGCTTGAGGGTCAGCCAGGAAGAACAATTCAGAGGCTGTGTGTCCGACCACTGAACCACGTCTAGCCTTATGCTCAGGAAAGCAGGAGCCTCAGCTTCTTTGTGGGCAGGAAAGACCTGTCACTTAATATACACAAATAAAAGGACACAGCCAGCCGTTGGGAAAAGGAGGAGGCTGTCTGTGGGGCAGGAATGCAGTCCCTGCAGCTCGCAGCCCCTGGCTACGGGGGACCAGCCTCAGGTAGGACAGGCAATGATGCAAAGGGACCTTCCAGGGACACCAGCCCCTCGGAGCAGCCCAGGCCAAAGGTGGGAGGCACAAAAGGGAGCCGAGGACCCTGCTCCTGCCTGCCCCCCAACCCCGCCCCATCTCTCTTCCCTCTGGGAAGTGAGGGAAAGCCTGAGACCCGCTCCCAAGCAGAGATTCCCATGCAGAGCTGGAGGCTGGCCAAAGGCCAAAACCTTTCCTTCCCACTCTCTCCCCTGTGGAATGTCACCTCCAGAAGTTGCAACACGAGCTTTTAAATTTGGTGGAAGAACTTTACCCTCGAAGGGTAGATTGGGTCTACAGGGAACGTCCAATGCATAAGTTTATTCAAGGCTACTGAGGATCCCATGAGGATTCCATACATCTAGAAGTGACTTGAATTTATAAAACTTGAACTCGTAGTTTGCCCTTAATTGACTCCCTGAAGAACCTAGACCGGGTGGCAGCTGGCTCTGGTGTCACTAGGGAAAGTATACGGTCCCCATGGCAACACCCTGGCTGCGTGGGACACGTGGCGTAGGTGACAGAGCACAGGCTTCACAGATGTGGGTTCAAATGAGGGGCCTGTCAGGTGCCTACTGGGTGATATCGGGGAGGTCAGGTGACCTCCTGGAGCCCCAGATTCCCCACCTGTAAAATGAGGCTCACTGCCTGACTGCCAGTGGGCTACTGGGGAGACTAATAAAACGAGAAGTGCCTGGCTCTGAAATAGAAGCCGAATTGTGGTCACAGATCCGCTTCCACCAAACTAGACGGATCCAGGTCTCTCCCCCGTCCCCACCGCCATTCAGGATTGGGCCCTCCTGGACTGATTTCATCCCCAGCTATCCACATGCACTCTACAGCGCTGCGTGCTCACCTGTTCTGCTGACTCAGCTCCGAGCTGATTTCTGGGCAAACTGGGCAGAATAGACAACTTTCTGGTACACTGCAGAGGCCATGCCCTGGCTGGATAATGGTCACATAAGAACCCCCCACATGACTCCCCTGACTGACTCCACAGCCCTTTTCCCCCGCCTTGGAAGCATCATAAAACTTCTAGGGTAGGAATGTGTCCAGGGTTCTAGTCTGCTGCCCCAAGCAGTGGCTGGACCTTGCCTGTTTACTAACAGCCTTGTACCACGTGGACAGGTCCAGAGGCATCTGGCAGACTTGTTATCAACAGCTCCATCTCTGGAAAAGATCTTTGGCTCATGGGTTGTTTAGTCTGCCAAACTGCACTGCCCCTCAGGATTTGCAAAGTGTGAACCAGAAGATGGGAGGTGTCAAGTCACAAGAGAGCAGAACAGAAAAATAGGTTCTTTTCCAGATCAAAAGGCAGCCATTTTGCTTGTTGTACTCAGTGTTTCGAGACACTGTGGATATGAACATGTATCCATGTGCGGCAGTCTCCACCACTCCCTGCTGCCTGTCACTCAGCCTCTTGACACACACTAGCCTCCTGCCTGGCTCAGCAGGCATTTCAGTGGATGGCCCTTGGCTACTCCAGTCTCTCAGCTTAAGGAAGGATGGAGTGGGGAGGAAGCATGTCAAAGGCATGCAGAGGATTAGTTGCTGACTAGGACCAGGAAGCAAGACTCATGACATCATCAGGGACCTCTTCATGCATTCATTTATTCAGTTACACCTTCAGCTGGTCAACAACTACCCACTGAGGACCTACTATGTGACAAGCCCTATGTAGATACTGAAGAAACCTATGCATGACATGGTCTCTGCCCTAAATGGTTCACTCGGCAGGAGATACCAAAGCAGACAGATTGAAGCACTAAAGTCTTTTAAAGACCCTGTCAATGTCCCAATCAGGGACCACTTTCACTTGGGGACAGAAGATGCCCGAGGAAAAAACCCTTCTGGAGGAGAAGACATTCTTTGCTGTGTCCCCTACCTAGACTCAGCCAGGAGGCAGGCTGGATGACAAAGGAGAGTACTATGGGGTGAAGACAGGCAACATCGGGTTGGAGCTTCTGCCGAGTGTCACTGACCAAGAGCCAGCATCACAACCCAGGAGTCCGAACAAGTGGGTACTAGTGCCAACTAGATGGGTACTGGAAAACAGTTGTCAGCCCCAGACTCGTGCCTAGTACCTCGGTTAGGGGGACAGGCAGCGCCTTAGACAGATAGGGGAGGAATCCCATCTACATGTCAGAGGAAACAGAGACAGCCACCCTACACCTGGCCTGGACAGAGCAAGGGGACAGGGAAGGCCACATTTCAGAGTAGATGGTGTCCCAGGCTCCCAGGCCCCTTAGCCACTAACCCCAGAGCCCACTGCTGTGGCAAGAGATTCCCAACTTCCAGCCAGGTGGGTATACCCTGAGGCCCACAACCACAGAGGACAGTCGTCCGGACCTTACCTGGGCTGGGATAAATGGGCCTCACAGTCACGTCCAGAGAGTGTACATCCAGCCCTACTGGGATTCCCCTGACCCTATGCCTTCATGCTCTGTACCAAATCCCACCCTGGACAAGGGCTGCTCTCTCACGAACAGTTGTTCTGGAACTCAGCAACTGGACAGAACAGTTCAGGATGCCCAGTACTGGGGCAGAGGTCAGTCTGCAAGATGGTCTTATCTCAGACAGCTAGGGCAGAATCAGAGTGCTGGAGACCTGTCCTTTCCTCCTCCCGGGTCAGGGTCCTTAGGAAGATGAGCCTGAATAGCAGGCACCTGCTGTTCCCCACATCCTCAGCACTAGGGGCCTGGAGAGCTCCTTGCCCTACTTCTCCTGGTGCAGGTGTGCATGTGCTGGGCATGCATGTTTACACAAGGAGATGGGAACGGATTCACACATAGATGGTCTACATGCATGAGTGTGCAAATGGGACCAGAACTTGTGTGTGTGTGTGCAGCTGTCTAAGTGTGTGCATGAGCAAGCAAGGCACCATGGGTTAGCACATTCAGGTAGATCAGACAGGGGCAAAGAGGTTCTGAGAGCCTGAGTTGGTGTGGTGGCAGCTGGAGGAAGAACACACTCACATGCCAGGCTGGCAGCTGACACTTGAATTCCCACGTACTGACAGCTGGACCAGCTGTTGTCAGTCTACGTGAGGAAACGCTGTCAGACCTGACCGAGAGGTGAAACTGATTTGGTGTTTCACTACAGGTGCCATGGCTCTAGGAGGCCTTAGAAGAGGGGGCTTGTCACCCTGCAGGGGTAATAGACATGTGGAGGATAGGCTGACATGTGTCTGAGGCTGCCCAGGGTCTGCAGGTGAGGGCCAAGCTCTGTGTCTCACAGGAGGTGAGCCCTTCCCAGCTTATGATACACTGAGCCCTCCACAGAGCCTCTCATTCCTCCGCGCTAAAGGTCAAGACCATGGTGAGAATCTCCGCGAAGAACTGCTGTTCTCCCGGGTTCTCAAATGCTTTGTGGACAGGGATAGATCTACAGTGGCCCGCTTGTCCCAGTTTACCCCAGACCTTCCTAGTTTTAGCACTGAATGTCCCACATCCCTGGAAACCCCCAGGCAAACCAGGACAGCTAGTCATTCTAGCAGATCTGAGCCTGTACAATTGAAGGGGGATGGCCCCTTTAAGGAAAAAAATATATATATATAAACTGCAAATAAAATTAAGGCTACAGAAGAGACGTGTCAGCCAGGGTCCCAGGCCCTGAAGCTTCAGTAGCTTCATGGTCATCTCCCTCTGCCACCAAAAGTTTCAACTTTTTATGCAGCAGACCCAAACTGGATGTGACTCTAGGCTCTGTCCCTCACTGGCTGTGTGAAGCTGGACAAGTGACTTACCCTCTCTGTGCTTTACTTCTTCTTTTCCAAAGCAGAGACAATCGCATCAGAAGAGATCATACTGCTCACACGAGATAATAGAGGTGACAACACACACACATACACACACACACACACACACACACACGGCATGTGGGGGTACTCCTTCAGTATCCCTCTCCAGTGCAAGTCTGTTGACTGAACTGAGGCCAGAGAAGTCAAGTGATAAGGAAGTAGGCAGACAGGACACAGGGAAAGCTCAGCCCACTGGCAAGATGTTTGCCCCAGGACACCGTTGCTGCCTCCAGCACACTGAGTGATCCACAGAAAGCCTCAGTCTCCTTATCTCTATGGAGACCTGTGGAAACTTGCTTTGGCCTTGTCCCAGCCTTTTGTGACAGAAAGATACAGAAATGTCTGTGCAATTTAATGTGCATTTTCCAGGGTCACCTGGGTGGCTCAGTTAGTTAAGCATCTGACTCTTGGTTTTGGCTCAGGCTGTGATTTCAGGGTCCTGATCTCAGGGTCCTGAGATGGAGACCCAGGTAGCAGTCGGCTCCATGTTCAGCAGGAAGTCTGCTCATCTCAGTCTGCCTCTCCCCCAGCTTGCCCACACATGCGTGCTCTCTCTCAAATAATCTCTATCTCTTGCTAACAGTAGATCAGGGAGGGCTGGCCCAGGGGCATAGGTGACGTTCTGCTCTGATGAAGGCCCCCGCGGAGGAATATCAAGACCCCAGGCAGGGAGGCCTCTCCAGGAGGCACACAAAGGGTCTCCTCGGTCTGTGAACACACCCTTCCAAGACCATCCTGGGACATGATCAAGCTTGGGCCTGAAGTGACCTCCTTGTGCCCCCTGTGAGTAGAAGGGACCAGGATGCTTCTCCATTCAACCAAACTCCAATATCAGAGCAAGAGAATGAGGGTCCAGTCCAGGGAAATCTACCAACCACCAAGAAGGTTTCTAAGCTTACCTGCTTCTCCTACTTTTTAGCATCCAGGGCCCCCATAGCAGCACCTTGCTTTGACTAAATATCCTTCGGGGATAGGGAGCTCACCCCTCCCGGGGGCAGTCCATATGTGTGCTGGCCAGCTCTGCTGGCAAGTCTGTCCCAGGGAGGGGCTTGATTCTGCCTTCAGGCCATTCATCCTTCCTTACAAGGCTTGAGTGGGTCTGCTACTTCTCCCTTGGCACCCACTGGACACTGGGAGTGACAATGGGGATTGAGACCAACCTGCTACCTGATAACTTCTGCCTCCCACCTTAGTGGTGACTTGAACACACACCCCCACCCCTGCTGCCTACCACATATGTGGACCCCCACTAATGATCACACTAGCTAACTACCCCACTCGCTAGGACAGCTGGCTTGGCCTGGGGGGGCAGGACAGGAAAGAGTTGGGGTCCCAGTGAGGTGGGCCTGACAACCGCTCCCCATCTGCTCCTCACCCTACAACAACCCTCCTCTCTGTCTCACCCCCACCCCAAGCCTTCAGAGGCACTACCCCTGGAACCCCACCCCCCCGCCAGTGGATCCACCCCCTTCTGCACATTCCGCCTCTAGGGAGGGACCCCTCTAGACTCAGGCTGGGCTGTTCCCTGCCAAACTCCCTCAAAGTCACAGTGGAAGATCATAAAAAGGGAAACCTCCTGGGAAGCCCAGGCCCACCAGAACTTGGAGACCCCGAGAAGCCCCAATTTTCCAGTGCCCTGCTCAGGGCCCCCTCCCCAGTGGTCCTCCGGGCTGCGGAGCTGGGGACCCCTCGGCGCCTGCGCTCCAGACCTGGGCAGAGGGGGGCGTGGTAGGGAGAGGAGTTCGCCGCCACCCCTCCCGGCGCCTCCCGCGGCTGAGAGCCGGTGCCCTCACCTCCGCGCGCACTAATTGGTCTCATCTGGCGGCCAGCGGGAGCGCTCCAGCCGCGCGGATCCTAGCGGTGTCATCCGCTTAGCGCCCTCGCGCCACCCAGCGCCCCCGCCCCGCGCCCCTCCCGCCGCCGCCGCCGCCGCCGCCGCCCCCGCCGTGGGTCGTCTCTGCCCTCCGCGCGGCCCGGGGCATGCTCCGCGCTCCTGCGCCCGGCCGGGCTGCGGCGAGCGACACTCTCGGCCCGCGGAGACATGAGGCGCGGCCCAGGGGCCGCCCTGGCCCTGGGGCTGCTGCGCCTCTGCCTGGGTGAGTGGCCGCGGGCCCCCGAGCGCCGGGTCGGGGCGATGCGCGGGTGCCGGCACTGCCCGGGTGGCCGGCCGAGGGAGAGCTCCGGTCCGCTCACTTCCACTGTGGGACTCGGGCGTGCGGGGGGCGGGGGGGGGGGACGGACGGGGCGGGGTGGGGTGATCCTTCCAGCTGCCGGGCTTGGCAGGTACCCTGGAGACCCCCGATTTGGGGCCAGGACCCCCGCTGCCCTCGGCTTCTTCAGAAGCAGGGTGGGAGGTTTGGTGGCTGCTCTGAAGGCTGCTGGGGCAGAGGAGGGTGTCCCAGCTCCCAGTGTGACCTTGGCCAGGGCATGGTCCCTCTCTGGGCGCGGGGTTCCCAGTCTGTCCATTGGTGGGTTGAGATTGGCCGCTGCCTGGGTTCTAAGTGCCCCAGATGGTGCAAGCCCCTGACAAGCCCGAGCCAAGCCTGAGCGGGAGGAGGTGGTGGTGGAGAGACCCTCTCCGCAGCTCCCAGCCCAGTCTGTCGGTGTGCTGGGGTTGGGGAGGAGACTGCCAGCCTGGGCAGACTAAGACCAGACATGTGACCATGCAGGTGTGAAGCTGTCCCACCCTGTGTCCGTGCTTCTGCCTGTTCTCTTCCTAGCCCAGGCCAATTTCGCCCCGCACTTCTTCGACAATGGGGTGGGCAGCACCAACGGAAACATGGCCCTGTTCAGCCTCCCGGAGGACACCCCTGTAGGTGAGTAGCCCTGGCCCTGGCCCTGGCCCCCTATTGGTTTCCCGGAGGATGGCCCACATTCCCCTGGACGCAAGGACTGAACCCGTGACTCCTCTGAGCCTATGGAGACACCCAGTGCCAGGCTGTGGGCCCTCCCGGGGCACCCTGTTTGTGCTCTGAATTCCCCAGGGCAGTTGCAGGAAAGGAGGTCACGGCTGTCATGGAGACTTAAGCCGAGCCAGTCCTGGAGACCCGGCTGTGGGCCCAGAGACAGGGCCACCCCCAGACAGCAGGTAGCAGTTGGCAGTGTGATGATAACCCCTAGGCTTGGCCACAGCACTGCCCCTTACTCACTGTTGTGACCTTGAGCAAATATACTTACCTCCTGGAGCTTGGGAGCTTCGAAGGCTTTAAACAGGCCTAAGAACCTCCAGCTTGCTGGGATATGCGTGAGAAAGGGCGAAGGGGAAAGAGGAGATTCTCCCTGCTTCCCTCTCTCTCTCTCTCTCTCTCTCTGGGTTGGGACCCCTGAGCAGAGGATAGCAGTGTAAAAGACACACCTACTCAGAAGTCCCTGAAGAACCAATCCAGACATGGGGGCACAATGCTGCATCATGGGTCACCCCTCCTGCCTTAATGCTGCCTCCCTTTTGTCCCATCCCCCATACCCAGGGAAGCCTAGTCTCGGCTCCTGGGACAGGAATCGATACTAGACAGAGGCCCTGGAGTTAGGCACAGCAGACCTGAAGCTCCTCTATAATCTGTATTATGGATTACAATCCGTACAGTGGCTGATACTAACATCTCACCGACAGTTATGTAGAATAATGATAGAGGGTGGGAAGCAGCCCACAGGGGTGAGGCCTGCAGCCAATGCTCACTCCGGGGCGGGACTTTTAGCACTGGATTGAATACCCACCTTATAAACAGCTGAATCCTTGGTCCCGAACAGATGCCACTTTTAGGAAAAGTTGGGTCCCAGATTCTAGTCTCCCCTTCTGTGTCTCCTTCCAGGTTCTCATGTATATACTCTAAATGGGACAGACCCCGAGGGAGACCCTGTCTCCTACCACATCAGCTTTGACCCCAGCACTAGAAGTGTCTTTTCTGTTGACCCCAATTTCGGAAACGTCACCTTGGTTGAAGAGCTGGACAGAGAGGTATGGAGAGGTGTGGGAAGTGCTGTCTCCCAGGTGTGCAGACAAACCTCTGTGGGCTGGAAGTTTCCCTAGAGGTCATCCCTGGAGAGGTCCTGTAAGCCACAGAAAACTGACAGCAGATCAGGGCTAGAAAGAGTCTTTTTTTTTTTTTTTTTTTTTTAATATAAGCTCTACATCCAACACGGGGCTCGAACTCATGACCCCAGGATAAAGAGTCGCATGTTCTACTGACTGAACCAGCCTGGGAAAGAGTGGTTTAGAGAGTGGGTCTGAGTTTGGTAAACCTCCACTCCTCCATCGCTCTGCACCTTTCTGAACCTACGGGTGCCAGGGCCTGAGCTACGTTTCTCTTTTGAGACCCCACACCAGGCTGCTGGGCCTCGCGGACCACATAACTGGACCTCCACCATGGGCTTACCTCCAGCTCTGGTCCGATGGCCGACTCCACCTGCTGCAGGCCAGGGTAGAGAAAGGAAAGGTGGGTCTCAGAGGCTGCTGTAGGGACCCCGAAGTGGAAGTGTCATCGTGTACCCCTCCCCGGCACCCCGGGGGCCTGCTGATCTCAATACCCTCCTCACTGAGGTCCCACCATGGGCTAGGGAGTGCTTGAGATACTGCAGACCTGGACCGTGGAATACAGAGAGAGGTGTGGGAGAGATGAGGAGAAGGAAGAAAAAAAGGAAACCCCAGCTCCCTGGGGCGTCCAGCACACTAGATTAGCATCTGTCCTCATTCTAGCAGTGGAACATTCTCTCTCAGTGCCTCAATACTACTGTGGATTTATGAGAACCTCTGATGGGCTGAGACCCTCTGATGGGCTGAGACAAGGTCTCAAGCACAGCCAGAGGCAGCTTTTGGTCACCCTGCCTTGCACCGGGGCTCCTTTGAAATGCCCAGGTCTGCTCTGGTGGGCTCCATGGGGGCAGGGAGAGCCTCCCCCCCCCCCAGCCTCAGGGTCCCCAGGTCCATCAGACTCCCAGGCACTCACTCAATCCTTATGCTTTACAGAGGGAGGATGAGATCGAAGCCATCATCAGCATTTCGGATGGCGTGAATCTGGTAAGTGCACCCCTGAGCCAGCCCCCTGGCAGTACTCACTCCCTGGGCTTGCCCACAGTTCCTTCTCCCTCCTAGGGGCTCTCTGGCAAATCTAAGCCGAGGCCCATGAAGATCTGCTCCAACATGCCCCCAGGACAGGGCTGCACCAGGGGAGGCAGTGGGGATGCTTTCCCGTCTGCCTCCTCCGACCAGCTCCTGCCCAGTCACCCAGACCTGGCTGCCCCTTTACCTCCTTCCCCACAGACACCACTTCTGCCGGGCCCTCATCACTGCTTGCCAGGGTGAGTGATCTCAAGGGTTCCCCAGCTTCCAGGCTACCTGACCCCAATCCATCTCTGAAGTTCAGCCAGAGCCATCACCATGAAACGTTAGACCTGGCCAGAGCCGGCTGTGAAAATACTCACAGCAGGCCCCACTGCCCTCGGGATGTAGTCCAAGCCCTAGTTCGGCACTCAGGGCCTCCGCATTCGTCACTATCTGCCTTGCCCACCTTCTCTCCCATATTCACCCTCCCAACCATCTAGCCCCAGATCTGCTTATGTCCTCTGAACTCGCCACACATATCACTCCTCTTTGCCTTTGCATGTGCTGTTCCTTCTTCCTGGCATACCTTTCCACCTCTTTCCCTCTCTCCTGACAAACTCCTGCAGAGCTTAAATCTCACTCCTCTGTGAAGCCTCCCTGCTGTCCCAACCACTGGCTGGGCTAGATGCCTCTTCTCGGGGCCTCTGGAGACAGCCTCCTAAACCATGTACCCACAAACCTAAGGGGTGCATTTACCTAGGCCATAGTGCCCCCAGAGTCATATAGCACAGGGGCCCTGCCCACAGTGCCTGGCATGCCACTGTTAGCACCCTGCATGAGATCACCACCTTTCTTTTATATGAGGATTTGTTCCGCCATCCCATTCTGCAAAACACACACCATCAGATCGTGTGTTCTGTCTCTGGGGCGGACCACAGTGCTTGGCACCAAGTGGTTGCTTCATAGTGTTTGTTGCATGAATGAATAAAAGGAGGAAGGAAGGAGGGAAGGAAGGGATGAAGAAGGAGAGACACCAGGCAGAGACATACACCTGGGGTATTAGAGGCCACTGTGCCTGTATTGCCCAGAAAGTCTCACTGCCCCAGCTCCTGTCCGCTTTGCCCCTTCTCAGGTGGCAGAAAAAGTCACGATCCTGGTGACGGATGCCAATGATGAGGCCCCCAGTTTCATCCAGGAGCCCTACGTGGCCCAGGTTCCCGAGGTAAGCAAGAGGCCCCGAGGTGGAGCCCGTGCCTTCCCGCCCTGACGCCCTCCCGACCCTCTGGGCTGCCCTGTGACCTGCCCCAGGAGGCCGGCCCCAGCGTGAAGAGCACCTGCTCACTGCCCTCCGGGGGGCCCTCCCCTTCATGTCCTCCCCTCACCTCTGCCGCCATCCCCTCACACATCCATTTTTATCCACAGGGGTGTCCATTTACCGTTTTCCATTTAAAACCATAATGTATGTTTATGGTGGAAATGTGAAATATATAGAAGAGTAGCAAAAAAACGAGTTTCAAAAATCACCCTCCATCCCTCCAGCTTGAGACAACATTGTCAAATTTTGGTGCTGTTCTTTTGAGTCATTGTGGGATTACTGGATTCATTTTGTTTGTTTTATTTGCATAACTGTGATGATACTAAACATACGCTTTCTGTATGCTGTTTTTCGCTTAATTTACAACATAAGCATTTCCTCAGTGATTGTAAAGTTTAGGTAACTGTCATTTTAATAGCTTCCATTTAGTGCATATTCCATCATTGACTGAACTAGTCCTCTACATTTGGACATTTAAGATGCTTTACATTTTTGCTGTCATAAGAAACGTAAAATTCTGAACATTAACATAAAACCTCCATATAGCTAATTAGAATGATTTCCTTAAGATCTGGTCCAAGATGTGAAATGACAAGGCTGAGAGCATGAGCTGCCTTAGTAGCCCTTGCTGGCTCTCTCCCCTAGGATGTGGGAGGGGCTTTGTCTCCCCATCCCTGACCAACATTGGGGAGTCTCGAATTTTTTAATGTTTGCTGATTGAGTAGGAGAAATATACTTCATTTTGGCTCTGAATGGTATGTACGTGATCCCTGGTTATGTGGAATGTGTCTATTAACCATTTCTCCATTTCATATTTAAACCCTTTGTCTATTTGGAGTCTTCGTTTTGGAGGATGGAGGATGTCCGTTTGTCCCTTTCTTTCCCCTTTCCTTCTTCCCTGAACCCACTGTGACTTTGGCACGTCTCCTCCACGGCTGCCTCTCCCCAGTGGGGTGCTCCCTGGTTAATCATCACCTTTTCACCTCTTTTTAGCCCTTCACTCCCTGGCTCCACCTCTCTATGGCTCCCTTACCCCCAGTCCCCTGAGCATTGTGTCACTGCCCTGGGACTGACCCCACCCCCCACTATGGCTGTGACCTCTCAGGACATACCTGCTGGGAGCAGCATCATTAAGGTGCATGCAGTGGACAAGGACGCAGGCTCTGGAGGGGCTGTCACCTACTTCTTGCAGGTAAGGTCCCTACCAGAGACCTGGGCTAGAGGGGACACCTGGAGGGCCACCACCTCCATCACCAAGGCCCTGAGTCAGCCTCCACTATTCCCGAAGATTGTGAAAGACGTCACTTCAGCTCCACCGGGACATGAGAGGAGCGTGGGTGGAAGCCGTCTTCCCTTGACCGGCCCACCCTGGCTCCCTCTCGGTTCCCTGCCACCTTCTCCCTGGGTCTCCAGGACCCTCAACTCTCTCCCCCGAAACCCCTTCCCCAGGAGAGGGCTGGGCGCATTGCACCCACACAGGGTGGAAAAACTTCCCTGGGCCTAGAATTGTGGAGAGGAGAAAGGGCAGAGGGGGATCTGTCAGGAGGAACAGAGCAGTGACACACGCGCCCCAACCCCGTCAAAGGCAGAGACCCCCTGCCCGCACCTCGTCCTCCTCTCTGGGCTCCTCAGGAACCCGCCGTGCCTCTCACAGCTGCGCCCCCGTGGCTGCTCCTCAGCCCTCCGAGCTTAGTCCCAGGCTCTCACAACTGTCAAGGCAGTACCGCCTGGTGGCTGACAACAGGGGTTCTGGAGAAATCCCTGGGCTCCACCTGTACTGGAAAGATTCCGCCACCTCCTCGTGGGGCCTTCAGCCCCTCATCTAGCTCTCCCAACTCTCCTTCCTCACGTGCCGAACGGGAAAGGCACAAGCCCATCCTCATGGGTTCTTCTGGGGATTAAATACACGTAAAGCTCCACAACAGCTCGTGACGCACAGTAACCCCTTTTCCAGCTTGAGGGTCACCCCCTGTCCCCACCCACCCTCCACCACCCCCCAAGCTGCCTGTGACTGGCCCGTAGTCCCTTACTTGCTGGGGTGGGAAGATCCTGAAGGCTGTCTCCACCACTGTGGCTTCTGAGCCCCCACTGCCTCTCTGCTGCTAAGTCTACCTGCTAGAAAGTCCAGGCCAGAGCTGAGCTGGAAGCTGGGCAGCAAGAAGCCGGGGTCCTGCCGGGAGCACGCTGAGGGATGGGAGGGGGACCCGAGGGCCAGGGTTCCTGCGACAAAGGACGGTGAAGACCCCCTGTCAGTAAGCAAAGTGGCCTTTCCTGGTCTGGCCTGGGTCCCCCTCCGAGGACCAGCCTGCCCCTCACTCTTACAGAATGTGCAAGCCACCAGATTTGCCCTGGACCGCCACAGTGGCGTGCTGCGCCTCCGGGCTGGGGCCACGCTGGACTACGAGAAGGCCCGGGCCCATTTTGTCACCGTGGTTGCCAAGGTAACAGAGAGGGAGGAAGGCGGAGCATCTGATCTTTCTTCAGCCTTTGTCAAGGGAAGCTGCCCTGCGGCTGGAACAGAGTTCGGTTCTGTAAGGGAGTGGGGGCGCTTTGGAGGGCTGAAGGTGTGATGGCAGTGGGGGTGGGGGTGCAGCTGATCAGAACCTCTGTTGATGTGGACCCTGCCAGGACATGGACATAGTCTCCGGGGACGCTGGAGTGCGTGGGCTGGAGAGGGCATATTCCCTCCTGGAAGAGGGTGTACGCCCCATGAGGACTGACAGGCCAGCTTCCCCTTCGGAGGACCAGGCGGCCATGGCCTAGAGACCCATGCTCCCTCACATCCCCCACAGCCTGGCCTCTGGGCACCTCCCTGTCTCTGCCTGGGCTTGCTCACCTCACCTGTTCCTCTCTGTGATCCTTGGCTTCCTTATCTGCCCACCCGTGAGGCTGAGCTGAGTTCCTCAGACTTCTAAAGTGCGTCGTATGGGATCTGCAAGTCAGCAGGTGCTCAGCCAAGGTGGCCGCTCTGTCCCCTGAGGGCGGGAAACCCCAGCTGTCCCTCTGGGCCCAACATTCTCTTTTCCAGGAAAAGAAAGGCCCTCGCTGGTCACATATTGGCCACAGGCCAGCCCCCTGCGGCCTGTAGCCCCTGCCCGATAAGCCACGGGGGCCGGGCTCGCTGGGCACACACCTGCATCACGCAGGCTCAGGCGTGGGCCCAGGTCGTGCTCTTAGTAGGTTCCCAGGAGGTGTTTGAGGCTTGGCTCCTGGTAGGTGGGAGAATGTTCTGACCCCCTCCTCCTCTGCCATGGTTTCCCTGGAGTGAGAATTCACTCTTTTTTTTCCAAAGGAACACTTTTGAGTGAGCTGACTAAAACCTCCATGCATCCTCTCATTAAAATAACCCCTATGAGGCGGAAATGATCTCCAGGTGACACAGGGCCAAACAGAAATCAGAGAGGGCAGCTGGTCTCAAGGCCAGGACGTGGCAGAAGCCAAATCGCACCGGGGGCCACCCAGAGCCCGACCCCCCTTCACTCTCTGATTCTTCCCCCAGGATGGCGGAGGGAGGCTGCGAGGGGCTGACGTGGTATTCTCCACCACCACCACGGTCACAGTCAACGTGGAGGACGTGCAGGACATGGCCCCTATCTTCTTGGGCATACCCTACTATGGCTATGTATATGAGGACACCCTTCCGGTGGGTGGCTGGCCCCTCAACCCAGCGTCCCCTCCAGACACCACGGCCCCGGGATCCCCTGTGGCTTGGCCCTGGGTCACCCTCATCACATGGCTGGCTCAGGCTCAGTGCATGAGCTTGTCCTTTTGCCAGTGGGAGTGTAAGGGAGAAGAAGCAGGTCCTGGGGTGTGGAGCACCTGCTGGGCGCCAAGACTGTGACAGGCATTTCTTCACTCATTCAGACTTACTCTCATCCAGCTGCCAGTGTTCTGCCCCTCAAAAGGGCTGAGAAGAGAGGCTGGAAGGTGGTCCATTGCTTTTGGGTGGGGTGGGGCTTTTTCTACACCTTGTGTGGACGAAGAGGGTGAGGTTCCTTTACGCCTCCCCAGCTCCAAGCTCATAGCCTGGGGTTGCTCAGACCAGTAGTTGTCCCGCAGGCCCAGTTCCAAGGATGGCCTCAGCTTCCTCCCCCTCAGTGCAGTCTTTGCCTCTGGTGTTGTGGTGACTATGCTTGTCTTCAGGCCTCTCAGGGAAGGTCCTATCCCTAGGACTGGCATCTAAGGCCCGGCCTCCCCTCCACCCCTGAGTCCTCACCAGCCTCCAAGCACCCAGCCCATGTCCCCACTGTGTCCTTAGCCTTTGCCTGAGACCGTCCCGCGGGCCTGACGCTCCTTGCCCTTGTCAGGCCAGCCCAGGCACTGTTTTCCTTGACATCTTTGGTTGAGATGGGAGCGCTCTTCTCCGTTCCCACGCTATGCACACCCCTCCTTGGGGTGCACCCACGTATTTACATGCCCCCTCACCTCGGGCAGACCTTGAGCTCCCCGGAGGCCGAGACCAGGCTGGAAGCAGACTTCACACAGCCACGGCTCAAGGACTCTGTGGAACTGAATTGCATTATCAATTTTCCTTTCCCTGAGTCTGATGATTCTAGACTTGATGAGATAATGAAAGCACTTACTGAGGACCGCTTACATGCTGGGCCCAAGCTATGATACTGCTTCTCCAGAAGCTGATGGCTGAGAGGTAGAGATGAGCACAGAGTGAGGGAGAAATGGCGGGCTCCTCTGGTGGGGGCCGAAGGCAGGGCTCGGGGGAGGCCAGCTGTCCTGCCAGGAGCTAAGAGTGGAAAGCGTTGCTGAAGGAGAGCAGGCAGCACTTGGACAGACAGGAAGCAGCCACGAGTGTGGATAAGCCGAGGAGAAGCGCCCTAGTAGGGGGCTTAGGAGGGCACGGGCAGGCTGACGTGGAGCAGGCTTGTTAGTTGTGCCATCCCTGCCCAAACCCTTCGAACAGCACCCCAGCCGGAGGCCCCAGGAAAACATCCTCGTTCCTGGACTTCACACTGGACCCCTCTGTGCCCAGCCCCTCTCCCACCTGTCTCTGACTCCCTCCCTGTACCTCTGAAGGCAAAAGGTGGATGAGGCAGTGAGGGTGAGGTTTGTTGGGGGCCAGACAGCGGAGGCCAGAGCTGAGTGTGGTGTGTGGGAAAGGAGGGGTGTGAGGGGGAGGCCCACTTGGGGGGGCCTGAGTGTCCCTGGGCGGCCATGTGTGAACCGATGTGGTGGGGAGAAGCCGGGCTCAGGCTGTCCCTCCAGCCCTGGGAGCCAGTGGGTGCTCCGGTCTCCCTGTAGAGCAGGTGTGGGGCCACACAGAGGCCTGGCCCTTTTCTTGGGTGGCAGTGGCACCTCCCCTCTGATGGGGGCAAGTATCTGGGGAAGGGAGAGCCCCAGCATCACCCACTGGCCTCAGGCAGCTGCTTCTGTCCCCCCGAAGGGCTCGGAGGTACTGATGGTGGTTGCCATGGATGGAGATCGAGGCAAACCCAACCCGATTCTCTACAGCCTCTTGAATGGTGAGTCTGGGGCAACTTTGGGGACAGGCCCATCGCTGGGCTAAAGCTCCTCCTTGCTGGGTGACCAGAGTGACCTGCCCAGACCTCTCTGGGTCCCCGTTTCCTCATTGGTAAAGCCAGAAGTACAAGATGTATTGTGGGGGGGGGGGGGTGCTGGGCCCCTCCAGGAGGTGACAAGTCTTCTTGGGCATGTGCTCTGGCTCCTGCTTGTCACTATGTCTAGCAACAGGGAGACAAGCATGGAGTGGGGGCACCGACTCATGTCGCTTCACCCTGGGCACACACCAGTTAACAAGAGGGGGTGGCAATGTGTCTTACACTTTTTAAAGTTACTGGTTTTTTTTTTCTCATTACTTTTTTGGGGGGAGGGTAGGGGCAGAGGGAGAGGGAGAGAGAGAATCCTAAGCAGGCTCCACACCCAGCACAGAGCCCGGCATGGGGCTCGATCCCGTGACCCTGAGATCACGACCTGAGCAAAAACCAGGAGTCGGACACTTAACTGACTGAGCCATGTAGGCACCCCTCTCATTCTTTCACGCTTCTGGCCTAGAGCATATGGCTGAATTAAAAGAATTAAATGCAACGATGATACGACATTTCCTACTATTAGCCCTATATACGGATGAGAAAACTGAGCCTCAGAGAAGCTAAAGGGCCATCCCACATTCCCATTGGATTTGAACCTAAGTCTTCTGGCTCCAAGACTGTGTTCTTTGCACAACTGAGCAGCAACTGAGCAGGTCACGGTGGCCCCGGGTGGGTTCTGTGGCCCCCAGGAGCCAGTCCCCACAGGGTGGTTGCCTGATCACAGTCGTGCTCACGTCTGTGTGCTCTCATTCAGACCCCATCGCCTCTCCGGCCCTATCCCTAGGATATGCCTTGTGCACACTGTCCCTCCAGCAGCTCACGCATGCATGAATGTGGCACCATCACAAGCAGGCTCCTTTCCGCAGGCACACAGACCCCCCCTTGACGGCTCCCCATCCCCACCCCTCCACCTCTGCAGCCTTCCCACAATTACCCAGCACCCACCATCCCCATCTCTTCTCTCCTCTCCCTCTTCTGTTCCTCCTCCTGCAGCCTCTGCCTCTTTCTTCCCTCCCTCCCTTTCTCGCCTCTCTCTCCCCCTCCTTCTCTCCCTGCCTGTGTGGCTGTTTGTCCCTCTTTCTTGGCCATCGCACACACAGGGCACATAAGAGAAGCCAGTTCTATGAAACCTGAAAGCCAGAGTCAGAAGTGAGTTTAAATCCCGGCTCTACACACGCTGTGTAATCGTAGACAAATAACTTAGCCCCTCTGAAACTCAGTTTCCTCATTGGCAAGATCCAGATGATAGAATTACATTCTATAGAGCCTTCAGTGAGGGAATGCCTGAGGAGCATGAGGCCGCCTGCCTGGCCTGGCTCCCCTGCGCCTCCCATGGCTGTGTGTGCAACTGCAGGGCACATCTTTCCCCCTTGCCAGGGAGTGATGGAGACTTCGAAATTAATGAGACGTCTGGAGTCATCTCTGTCATGCAGAGCCCTGCCCAGCTCAGGAGAGAGGTGTATGAGCTGCATGTACAGGTACCTCTAGCTTGGCTTTCCTTCCTACCCTCCGGCTCTGGGAGATTCCAAAGGTGATGAGACCCAGCCCACTCCTACCACCCACCTTCCACCCAGGGAGGGAGCTAGATGTTGCTCCAAAGAGCACCTGCCTCACATAGCCTGTGTGAATCCTGCAGCAGACGCACACAAAGCCCCTGGCAAGGGGAGATGTGAATTCACAAGGAGGTAGGACTGAAGAAGCAAGGTCTTGAACATGGGTAGGACCCAGCAGGTGGAGATTGGTGGTGGGGGTGAGGGCGGACTGGAGGCAGCGTGGGCTAGGAAAGCCCCATGAGCCAAGGCTGGAGGGGAGAGCACATTGATGTACTAGGGTAACAGCAAGGAATCATGGGGCTAGAGCAAAGGGTCCACAGGCAGCGTGTAGACAGAGAAATGGTTGGATCTAGGCTGGGGCCAGAGGAGTGAAAGCCCTGAATATGAGATATAGTTTTTTTTTCCTGGAACAGGGACAGTTTTATGGGCATGTGGTCTATGTAATTACACAGGCATCACCATTAGAAGGGTCCCATGCTGGGCATAATGCTCTGCTCTTGCTGTCTTGAAATTCTTGATAATTTTTTAACAAGATTTTAAAACAATTTTTAACAAATTTTTTGTTAAAAAATATTTTCATTTTTCACTGGGTCTGCAAATTATGTAGCTGGTCCTGCCCAAGAGCAGTAAAGAGCCATTGAAGGGTTTTGAACATGATTAGAGTCTTGTTAAAAAAAACTCATTCTGTGTGCTTTAGACTGGCGGGGAAGGGGGCAGGGAGGGTTCTCAGATTTAAAGAGTTTGGCAAACAAAGATTTCCGGGACCTGGTCCTGGCGACAGGAAGTTAGTGTGTCTGGGAGAAACCCAGGACTCTACACATTCTGAGCTCCCAAGTGATTCTGTGCACCAGTCCCAGCCTAGGGTTTGAGAACGCATGTCCCAACTTGAGTTTGGAGGGAACTGGACGAGAAGCAGGGAGGCAGAGCTATTAGTCAAGGTGATAAATCAAGAGGGCCCTTGGGGAGGAGGGGAGGTGGAACAGTAGAAACAGAGAAATTGCAAAATATGGAGGAGGCTGACACCACAGAATGTGGCTGTGCGGGGTGAGGGAAGGGACAGGGCTGGGGCGTCTGGGGCGGTACCATGACATCAGGAGCACAGGAGAGGAGGCAGTCTGGGTAGGACGGGCCCAGAGAGTTTGGGTATACAGGTTTGGAGCCTGGGGAGACAGTGTCAGCATACGGCGGCTGTGGAAGCGTGGGTTTGGGTAATGGGATCACCCCGAGGATGGCTGTGGGGACACAGGAGCACTCGCTGAGGACACAGCTGTGGGCTCATTGAGGCTGAGTGAGGAGAGGGGTGGGAGCAGGTGAAGCAGACCCGGGAGAGATCAAGGAGGTAGAGAGGAGCCCGCACAGAGCAAAGTCACATTAGCAGAGGACACTCAGGAAGGCGAAGGAGGTGACAGTGCTGCATGCAGCATGGAAATTAGTGTGAAGTATCTCAGTTGGGGATGGGCTGAGAACTGAGTAGGAATTAGGAAAAATAGGGGTGTAGGCTTCTGAGAAGGGCTTCAGGACAGCAGCTAGGCTGTGACGGAGTGGTGTCCGGGGAGCAGGAGTTTTAGAATAGGTAAGGCCAGAGCATGCTTATGGAACAAGGGGAGGGAGGTCCTTGATGGTATCTGTCACAGGGAGTGGTTCACATGGAGCCTGTGGATTCTCGGCCCCGGCTTTGTAGCCCCCCTTCCCTGCAGCCTTCCCACAGCTAAATGGACACTGGACAGAATGTGGCAGAGCTGGGATTTGAACCCATATCTGTCTGGCTGCAAAGAGGGGCCAGTGTGGGGAGATGGAAAGAGTGCTGATTAAGGAATCAGACACACCTGAATTCTTCCTGTTCCAGCTCTGCTACTCACTAGCTGTGTGACCCCAGGTGACTACTTCACCCCTCTGTGCCTCATCTGTGAAATGGGATCGGTACTAGCACTGTATTGTTGCCTGTGGCTGTTGTAACATTCCCACAAACTTAGTGACTTAAAACAGTACACATTTATATCTCACAGTGGCCGTGGGTCAGGATTCCAGCCTCAGCTTAGCTGGGTCCTCAGGTTCAAGGTCTCTCATGTAGCTGCCATCAAATTGTCAACTGGGCCTGGGTTCTCATCTGAAGACTCGATAGGGGAAAGATCAGCTTCCAGGCTCACAGGGTTATGGGCAGGATTTAGTTCCTAGTGTGCTGTTGGCTAGAGGTTCACCATTAGCTCCTTGAGACATGAAGCCTCTCCAACATAGCTACTCATTTCATCAGAGCCAGCAAGGGGAAGAGTCTGCTAGAAAACAGAAGTTACAATCTACGTGGTCTAATCACTAAGTATGTCTCATCACCTTTGCCATGTGCTATCAGAAGTAAGTTGCTAGGGCAGGCCCCACTGAAAGAGAGGAAATTATACAAGAGGATGAATACCTCGAGGCGGTGATCCGTGGGGCCATCTTGGAGTCTCCTGCCACACAGCAATAGCCACCTGTCCCCACCCCAGGTGACTGAGGTCAGCTCTTCAGGGATCCCAGCTGCCCAGGCCATGGTCCCAGTCACCATCAGGATCGTGGACCTCAACAACCATCCGCCTACATTCTATGGAGAGAGTGGACCCCAGAACAGATTTGAGCTGTCCATGTATGAGCACCCACCTCAGGGAGAGATCCTGCAGGGCCTTAAGATCACCGTCAACGACTCAGACCAGGTGTGTGGTCCTGCCCTCCACCTGTCTTCCAAGGGTCCTGAGCCGAGAGCTCATCAGCCTTCACTGCTTATGTGCCAGGGGCCTGGCGGGTCACAAAATGAATGAAACAAGAGAGTGTAACCGAGAGAGAGAGATGGGGGAGAGTAGCTAACCAAAGACTCTCTGCTTAGCCTAATGACATTCACAATCAATTAAAAAGTAAAGCCAGCCAAACAAAAGCCCCTCTGAATTTGATCCTCCAGAGGGGTGTTGTGACCACTTCCCATCACCTCCTCTGCCCAGCAGAGGGCTAGGCTGTAAGTGTTTGTTACCTGGCTTAGTCTCCATAGCCTGCTAAATCTTTCTGATCCTCGATGGCCTGGCCGACAGAAAGAAAGAATAATACTCACCTGCCAGGGTTAAGGGCATAGGAACCCTCCTCGCTTAGCATGACTATCTAATGAGTTTCTGTTCTCGTTCATCTTCCCCGTTGCCTTCCTCCAAACTCTGTCACCCAGGGAGCCAATGCCAAATTCAACCTGCGGCTGGTGGGACCTGGGGGCATCTTCCGAGTGGTCCCACTGACAGTCCTGAATGAAGCCCAAGTCACCATCATTGTGGAGAACTCAGCTGCCATTGACTTTGAAAAGTTCAAAGTGCTAACCTTTAAGGTAGGTGATGCTTTGCACCACCCTGAATTGGGGGGGGGGGGTCCTAGGAGCTCATAGCAGCTCCTGGATTCATTCCTGAGGGGTCCCTGTCACCTCCTGCCCCTCCTTTATTCCTCTCAGTTTCTCTGCCCCTCCGGCTGACTGGGGAGCATGAGTGGGAGGTGGGAAGAGGGGAGGGTACAAGAGCCTGCTCTCACTGCTCACACAGCCTCACTGAGCCCCGGTCCTAAATCATGACTGTCCCAGGAAAGCAAAGGCATTCAAGGTGCCATGTTAATAGATTGAGACAGAAATACTATCTGATTATCAAGATAGACATATTTCTCACATGCATTTGACATCTGTCATCGATTCTGGTAAAAACTTTAGCAGAAGATGAAAAAAATACTCCTTTGTATCTGTGATTGTTTAAAATTATGAACATATGTAAATAATGACTATTACATATAAACATAAATACTATATATTAATAAAAAGGAAAAACATACCTCATTGATATTATTTTAATGGTTATAATTATTTATAATTATATATACATACCATTACAGCGAACATCATGCTTAAAAGCGCAATTCTAAAAGCCTCCTATGAAGTCAGGAACAAATTGTGGATGCCTGCTATCACATTCTTTAGCACTATTCCTGGAGTAATGTTATTCCTCAGATAAAGAAAGGAAATAAGAGGTATGAACATTAGAAAGGAAGAGACAAAATTATCATTATTTGTAGGTGGTGTTATTGTTTGCTTAGACAAATCTAAGAAATGCTGGAAAAATAAACACAGCAAAGTTGCTAACATGATTGATTACAAACTTAATATACAAAATTTGAGAGTGTTCCTACATATGAAAAATAGCAAAGAGAATAATGGAATAAAAGATCCTCTTTCATAATAACTAAGAGATAAAGTTCCTAGGAATGAGGATAATAAGAAATATGCAGCCTCTAAATAACAAAAAGCACAAGAATTTAACAAAGAGATATAAAGAAAGCAAGAAATATAAAGGCGCCCCTTGTTTAAAAAATGCAAATTCTTATCAAGTGAATAAAGAATCCAATATCATTTCAACTAAGTCTTACCTGGAATTTCCTTTGGTGAGGTGGAGGGAGTTTAACGTAATTACACTGGTTTTTGTAGTTGAAGAAATAAACCTATAAGAATAGTCAGGAAAAGAGAAAGAAAGAATATGAGACAGGAACTTCCCTAACAAATATTAAATTATACTATATAACAAAATAATTTTTGAAATTGAAACTAAAAAGGAATATGCAAATCAATGGGATAAAAGAAATTGGCCCAAATACAACTGTAAGAACCGCAAGAAAGCAGGCCTTTCAAGACAGTGGGCCTTAGAGATGCCCCCCTGCAGGTGGTGCCAGGCATCGCAGGCTGGAGACTGAGAGTAAAGGCAGAGCAAGGCAGGCTGGTGCTGGACCCTGCTAAGACAGAAGTGGGAAGGCTTTCTGCTTGGTGACCCCCGCCCAGACAAGCCCTTATTTTCTTTCTTTCCCCAGCTACTGGCCATTGAAGTGAACACTCCAGAGAAGTTCAGCTCCACAGCAGATGTTGTGATCCAGCTCCTGGACACCAACGACAATGTCCCCAAGTTTACCTCCCACTACTACATTGCCAGGATCCCTGAGAATGCGCCAGGGGGCTCCAACGTGGTGGCTGTCACAGTGTGTTGGGAATTCGCACGGGGACTGGGGCTGGGGTTAGGAGCCCCCACTGAAGGGGGCCTGATGAAATCAGACAAACCAGGGTTCCTGTTTGAATCGCAAAGCCCAAACTCATTAACTGTGTCCTTAGACAAGCTACCTGAACTCTCTGAGGCTCAGTTTCTTCTTCTGTACAATGGGGTAACAGTACTTCTCAGGACTCTAAGGAGGACATAGGCATAAACCCTGAAGTCAGGGCACAGGACCCATCTTTTCCTTCGTCATTTATGAAGGAAGGATACATGCCTTCCAGATCTAAACCTTTTGGTTCCTCCAACAGTTGAGACCTCCCGGATAGAAAACTAGGGCTCTAGAGCAGTCCTTTAGATAAGTTTCTCCCCAGTTGGGTAACCCCAAATCCCCTTGTATTGCCATGGAAAGCAGCCCTCAGACACATGAGCTGCCAACATGCCCCGACAAAGGGCAGGGACCTCTAGGACCTTTCTCTCTTCCAGGCCGTAGATCCAGACACAGGTCCATGGGGCGAAGTCAAATACTCCATCTATGGGTCCGGGGCAGACCCGTAAGTAAATCCAGAATCCTGAACAGGGCCTCGGACAAGGGATTTGGGAGGCAGGGGGCAGAGGGGATCTGGGCGGAAGGCAGGAGGGACCTGGAAAGGATAGGACCTTGATTGGAAAAATAAGCGCAAGCCCAAGGAGGGAAAGGGAAGCAGAGAGCCCGAGGCAAAGGTTCTGGGATCTGAGAGAAGAAGGGTCACGGTCATGGCCTTGAGCTAGGGAGGGGCAGGCCCTGGGTGGAGAGGGTGAGTCTGAGCCCAGCTAAGTTCAAGGTTAATATGTGGATGAGTAGATGGATGGGCCTGCCTCCCACAGTCAGACTGCAGGGTCAGGGAGAGGATCAGGTGGGCCACTTTGGAGAAGCTGCATAATGCTTTGGAGGTAGGTCACTCCTGCAGGTGTGTGTGTGTGTGTGTGTGTGTGTGTGTGCGCGCGCGCCTGCGCACGCGCATGCGTGCGCGCGCACTCATGCCTCTATGCACACTCCTGTGCTTGTGCACACCCAAGCCTGAGCTCCCTTTGCCTGGCAGCTTCCTGATCCACCCATCCACCGGGATCATCTACACCCAGCCCTGGGCCAGCCTGGACGCTGAGGCCACGGCCAGGTACAACTTCTACGTGAAGGCAGAGGACATGGAGGGCAAATACAGCCTGGCTGAGGTGTTCGTCACTCTCCTGGATGTCAATGACCACTACCCTCAGTTTGGAAAGAGTATCCAGGAGAAGACAATGGTGCTGGGGACCCCAGTGAAAATTGAGGTGAGCTTTGAAAACAATGAAGCTTCCCTGAAAGCCTTGTTCTGGCTGCTGCAAGAGGCACTGTGGCATAAGAATTTATTTCAAAATAAAATTTATTGGCTTCCCACAATGAGCAGGGGTTTTTAAGGTACATTATATATATATACTCTGGTTTCTCTTCATATCGTATAAATCTTTCGCCTTTTTAAGGTACATTATATAGCCCCATGCTCACCTCAACCCAGAAATAACCTCTAAGAGAGAAGATATTATTGCCACTTTACAAAAGAAACGAGGCTCGGGGAGTTTAAGTGGCTTGCCTTTGTTCACACAGCTGGTTGGCCGGCTTTCAAAGCAGTGCTATGCAACACTGTCTTCCCGACGTGGAAGAAGAATGAACTCTGAAACCCACCACACTTGACTTTGAATCCCAGCTCCCCTCCTTCTCTGTATCCATCCTTAGACAAGTTACTTAGCTTTTGTTTAATACCTACTGCCCAGACTTGTTCTGAGGATGGAATGGTGTAACACATGTAGGGGGCCTGGCACGGACCCTGGCTCATTCAATTCTTCTCCCAACTCCAGTTCACTCCAAGTAGGGCTTAGGACCATTTTCCCATCAACCCAGCAAGCCACATACGAGTTATTGGTTTAGCCAGGGTATACAAGTGTCATCCGTGAAGCCCAGCTCTGTCTGACCCTCCCCACACTCAGGCCACGGACCAGGACGCAGAGGAGCCCAACAACCTGGTGGACTATTCCATCACCCATGCAGAGCCAGCCAACGTGTTCGACATCGATGCGCACACGGGGGAGATCCGGCTTAAGAACTCCATCCGCTCCCTCGATGCCCTGCACAACATTACGCCTGGCGGGGACTTCACGTGGTCCCTAGAAGTGCAGGCCAAGGACCGTGGCTCCCCATCCTTCAGCACCACGGCCTTACTCAAGATTGACATCACAGACACTGAGGTGGGTACCAAGTCTGTGTTGGGAAGAGGGTCGGAGGACCAGCTCAGGCCTTGCTGCAGTGTGATCAGAGGAAGAAAGACCATCTCCAGTCTTCCTCCAAAAGACACTCAGTGCTAGCAAAGCCTGCCTGTGCCATCAGACACACAGGCTTTAGAATCAGGCAGAAATCCTTGTTTCAACACCTTTTAACACTTCCTTTCCTGTAAATTGGGAATAGTGAAGGTTCCTTCACATGCGTGTTAAAAGGCAGAAGTAAAATCATGATGTGTAGTTCTCAGCTCAGTATCTGGCAGAAAATCATGACTTAAGGGAGCTCCTGATACATTTGGGCAGGCGAGCCCTTCCCTAACCAAAGGTAAGCAATACCCTAATCTCCCAAGAAAAGAGTCCAGCTAATGCAGGAGTTCTTAATCTAAAAAATGTTGTTTGCATTATCCTCTCTCGGTGTATATTTTTCTGGAGAGCTGCATGCATCACGTTTTCTCTGTGTGCATTTTTTCTGGACTGAAGCCCATAGTGCTAGTCGGATTCTCCAGGGATGCCTGACCCCAGAAAGATGGTTTTTAAACCATCAGGCTTCAGGGAGCAACTCCAAGGACTGGACAGAAGCCGCAGAATGCAAGGGGGTGGCTCTCTCTTCCAGATGCTGTCCCGAAGCCCCATGGCCACCTTCCTGATGCAGACTAAAGACAACCCCATGAAGGCTGTGGGTGTCCTGGCTGGCATCATGGCCATCATTGTGGCCATAACTGTCTTCATCTCCACCGCCACCTTCTGGCGTAATAAGAAGTCCAACAAGGTCCTGCCTGTGCGGCGAGTGCTCCGCAAGCGGCCCAGCCCTGCTCCCCGTGCCGTCCGCATCGAATGGCTCAAGTTCAGAAGGACCAAGGCTGCCGCCAAGTTTGTGCTCAGAGAGGATCCTTCCAATGAGAACTGCAACAACAACAGCCTAGGAAGCACACTGCCCCCCAAAGCCCCAGCTCCCCCTCCACCACCCACAGTGGCACCCAAGATGGGCACGGCCCCCTGGACTGTGCCTACAGTCTCTGGCTCACTCACCCCTCAGCAACCCCAACAGTCACCAAAACCCAAGGTGGGAAGCCCCATCCAATCAGCTCTGGTCTCTGAGCTCAGGCAGAAGTTTGAGAAGAAGGGTGTAGGTAATAAGGCTTACTTTTAGCATGTGTCCTGTGGACCCTCATTTCCCCAGCCCAATTGTCCTACTACTTGGACCATGCTCCCCACCACCCGCTCCTTAGGGTCACCTCTGTTTTGTACCATGATGTAAGCCCCATATCCACGGTTCTGGACATGCCTTGGATGAGGGATTTCTCTATTTATGGGCTGCAACTTGCAAATGCTTCCTCATCACCCAGATTATTGGCACAGTTATGATGCTCCCCATTCCCCAGAGGCTGGGAATCAACAAAGAGCCAGCTCTGGGTGTCTTCTACTCACCAACCTCAGACCTCGTCGAGTCCCTCAGGTCCTCCTGCAGCCTCAGCATCCTCAGTGGAGGATCAGGGCCCTGGCTGCATGTGGCAAGGCCAACCAGAACCTGGATCCTGAAGCCTCCCATTAAGAGCAGGAACAGGAAAAGGAGGTTCAGCCCTGGCTAAGGTTGTGGTCAGTGACCCTTGCAGGCTGTAGGAGAGCAAATGCATCAGGGCCGGGCAGTGATGCCCTGAAAACTCACGCCAACTGTGGGGCTGTTCCTCAAAGCCATTGGAAAGATGGAGGATGGTGTCTGGGCAGAGACCGTGGGCCCCTGCTATATCCGCATGGGACCAGGGGCACAGAGGTATGAAATGACCCCAGCCAGGGCTGTCCCAGGCGGGCCCAGAAATGTCCAAACTGGAGCCATGCGGGAGTCCTAGAGACATCCCGAAGAGCCACAAGCCCCACCCTAAGGTGCTGCCCCATCAGGAGTCCTTGAGGAGACAGTGCAGGGCTGAATTTTGGAGAGATCTGTTTTTATCCTGCTCATGTGGTATAACCTTGGGAAAGCCATTTAAATTCCCTGATCACTCACTTCCTCACCTGTGAAAATGAAGTCGGTTCTCACTGCCTCACTCACAGGTCCAAGGTGAAGACTGAAATAAATATGTGGCAACAAGGGCTTTAACCAAGTGCAAAGCAGCACAAATGCAGAGTATTTTTCTGCAGGCCAATCCTCTGGGGTGAAACTCTTCCAGAAAGTATTAGGAGCCTTTCAGGCTATTCTGCCAAGCACCCCCAGGAGGGCCTGTGCTGGGTTTGAGTGCCGCCCCGATCTGTGGCAGCCAGAGCTGGATGATGTCATTGCCCTTGACTGAGGCTCCTCCCATCCTGTTCTCACCTACCACATGCTCCACGCAGCCCTGGCCAGCCACCATCAGAGAGGACCAGAGCTGGGCAGCACATCCAGCCGAAGTCTCTGTTTTGCCAAGATGACAAACGGGTTTCCAAAGGAGGAGTAACTCCTAGAGGCGACACAGCAGGTTGGTAGCAGAGACCTGGTCTGAGGGCTCCTGGCTTCTCGATGCTTGCCCCTGGCCAAGCACACCTCATCAGCTTGTGACAACCTGCCCCAGGAGACAACACACACAGGCCTCTATGTTTAGTGCAAAGAAGTTCTGCCCGACTTTCAGGAAAACTGCTTTATGAGGAATCTAGATGTGTACAGGGAGAGGGTTCTTCACATCTTGCTCCCCTAGTAATCGCTCTAGAGTGTCATCAGTGATTTTATTTAAACCAATTAGATGCACATGTGGTTTTCTTGATTTCTGAGCCTGTGTTTTGAGGTGTTACTCAGATGTGCCAGTGTGTAAGCTCATTGCTGGGGTTTCTGCAGTCCCCACCCCAGAGTGTATTAAGAGATGAAATCCAACAAGCTGGGAGCCCAGCCTGATCAAAGAGGCATTTTGCAGCATATATTTCAGGAGAGGACTGTGCTGGACCATGTTTGCCCTGCACGGGGAATATGGCATCCTTCCAATTTGCCTGTGATCAACCTCTTTTGTAAACGGTCAATAAAATCTGTTAAGGAAGGGCCAAGCTGACCTCCTGCCCCCTGCTTCCATGTGCGTTAGCTGACTCATAGGGACCAGTCTCCCTGACAGCCATGTTCAGCCTGTCTCCTGGCTCCTTCGGTGGGTGGATTCATCCCCTAACTCCCAGATCTGATTCCATGAGAGACTGCAAAATTTTGTCTAAATGGCCACACGTATACCTCTCATGGTAATATTTGCAGGGCTTGTCTGTCTGATCCTGACTCATCAGGGGCCTGGACTGGGCTTTTCTTCTGAGCAGGACAAGCCCCAGCTGGGTTGCTTGGGAAGGAATGGACTCTGGAGCTAGAACCAATTATCCCCCAGCCCAGCCCAGCGGAAGCAGGGATTGGGAGACCTGGCATGGACAGGAAAGCCTGGGCAGAAGTGCTGTCTCTGGGATGGTGGTCATGAGAGCCTCTGGGCTAGAAGCTCAGGCCAGCATCCAGGCCCTGGGAGGGGCATGGGCTCTGGGACAAATCCAGAACTTGAACCAAGATAGAGGCAGTCTTGGAAACTGGGCCTTTGGGGGCAACCTCCTGCACTGGGAAGTATGAGAAAAGTACCTAGCTGCTGGCAAGAGCCATACTGAGAAAGAATAGGAAGATATGGCCAAACCTAGGGTTCCAGCAAATGTGGAGGTACTGGAAGTGACCCCCATCCAGTGGGAGTGAGGCTGGGCCAAGTTCTACTGCATGAGGGAATGGCAGGGGCCAAGGGACTGCTGCTCAGCCATGCTGGGACAGGCCTGGCCTCTAAGCTGGCATAATTTTAAGCCTCCAGCTAAAGAGCTGGGAGGCAGGGGTTTCAGCTTAGGAGGACTCTCCCACTTCTGGGCCCTAAAAAAGGAATGGATAATCAACAGACGTGTCTCCAGGAAACCTGCAGGACAGTGTGTATTTTTTCCTATGGTTGAGGTCAGACTTTCTAACTGTATGAAATAACAAGGTACTTTCCAGTCTGACAGCCCTGGGTCTGAATCCTGGTTCTGCTGCTTACATGTGTGACTTTAGGCAAGAGACTAAGCCTCCCTGGGCCTCACTTCCCACATCAATACGTGGTGTAAAAAATCAGTGCCGTGAAGGTGATGGGAGCTAATCTATGTAAAGCATCCAACAGCAGCTTTGTATCTGCTGATACAAGCTCAGGAGACAGTTGCTATTCTTAGAGGTATGAGAGGATATTTGAGGATGTCAGCATGCTGTAGCACCATATCCTGGAGGGGAGGACTCCTGCTCATGCTGACCTCCAGGATGTTTCCACCCACTGATAGGCCCGGGAGCCTCTCCTTTGCACGAAGAGAGGAGAGGGGAATGGGAGGGAGGTGGGGGAGGGCAGGGCAGATGCCACAGCTCCAGACCTGTGCAGCCGGGGAGGCTGTGTTGGAACATCTGCATCCCAAAGGAGTCAGGAACTGAGGAGACTGTCCCTAAGAGAACCTGTGGGACTCGGGACGGAGCAGCTGTCCCTCAGAGTCCAGCTGGCAAATGTGGCAAAAGCTGGTGCACAGCCGGAGCCTCCCACTTCTCTGAGGCCTTCTGCAAGCTGCTACTCTGAGGGCAAGAAGCTTCGAGAAAGCCAGAGTCAGTCCACCTAGCATGGATGTTGGCATCTGTTGGCAGGCAGTGATGCCTCTCTGACAGTCCTCAAGGGCCCTGGCCACAGGAGGGAAGGACAGGGAGAATGGGGAGGAGGCCATGTGAGGACTGAGGCTGCCACAGGCCCGTGGAGAAGCTGCAAGAAGACAGATGTGAGTTTAAATCCTGAGAAAGATCACCAGCGGCAGAGCTGCCCGGGGGGAAAATGAGGTTCTCTGGGGTTCACGGGGAAACCTCCACTCCATGTGCACCCAGATAAGAGGAGACAATCACCTCTCAGGGATTTAATAAGAGAGCTTGAAACATTTAATAGGGGAAGGGAGTGGGGGTTATAGCCTCATTCATGTAATAAACACTTGTGCTCAGTGCTGAGACGCTAGGGACACAGGCCTGGAAAAATAAGCCTGAAGCTCAGGATCACATGAGACTAGGTGGGAATCAGGATTCTGTAGCCTCCCTTTGTAGGTGATAATAATAATGATTATAGGGTCATATGATTTTCTATAGATTCTATTCCTTCTGGGTATGGCCCTTGCAACTCTACTTTCTAACAATCATCGGAGCACAAGCCCTGGGATGTAGCCAATCTCCTGTTCCTCGGTGCTGATGGCACCAGGCTCTCAGGAGCACCAAGGACTGCTCATGCGGACACAGACACCCACACATAAAGGGTCACATCACCCACCAGGCTCTCATTGCCCCACCGGGCAGCTCTTTGGAGCCTCAAACTTAGGTGATCTCATTGGGGGTTTCCAGTAAGAGGAAGAAGAATACTTTCTGAAGGAGACACAAGAACACTGCTGAGCAGACATTTAGAGGAAACAATGGAATGAGATGGGTGACGCTGCACAAGTCACCGTAACTTGTGGGTTAGAAAGGGGTAGAATTCTACCTTTCTCCAATAGGATAGCACATGTGGCATGTTCTATGTAATTGTTACAGGGCTATATATAGGGAAAGAGTAACATTTATTGATTGCCAGCCACCATGTATAATAAGATAATTAATCAGATGGGCCAAAGCTACACTGGCATCCCTTCCATGAAGAATTGTGTCTTCCTGATTATTGTGTCAAGTTCAGTGCCCGGAACAGAGTAAGTGCTCAATAAAGAGTGTTAAATAAATGGGTCAAGCCAAGTTGAGTTGCCACAGAGGGTCAGTCTAGGGACTAAAAGCCCTCACTCCCCCCAGCCCCGCCATGCCCAGCCTGAGCTGTTCAGCCCCAGGCTTCCTCTCTGTCTTGCTCCTCATCCCCTTCAGCCTCTCTGTGGCCCAGGCCATCCTCGCAGACAACTATGTGCTCTCTGTAGGAGCAGTCCCGGTGCTGCGGTGCAGCACGGGGGCACCTGGGGGCCTTCCTGAGCTGAGGACAGCAGTGCAGTCCCCATGCCCTGCAGCTGCAGGGGGCCTGGGCTGCACAGACGTAGGTGCCCACGGGCACCGCAAGCAACACAACACACAGGACCACTGCGACATGCAGCAGGCGCTCCCGTCCCTCCAGCACACTGTGGTCTCTGCCCGTCACAAAGACCACACACCGGCCTCTGCGTGCGGGCTGGCCCTCCAAGCTGAGGCATGCCTCATATTTCGTGCCGGGAAGGAGATCCTCCACAGTGTATGTGTTAATTCCAGGGCCAATGTGCACCACCTCCTTCC